CAATTGTATCGGAGGAATTAGGCCAACACACTGGGAAAAACTGACTTCTCTTTTTGAAAAGTGCTGTGGGACTTTAACACCCACTTGAACAGACAGAATGGAATCTCATCATCTGAAACATCCAGGGAAGATCCAGAAAGGAACCTCCTCAACTTGTTCCAGAGAAATGTTTTTTTGCCCGACATGGAAGATTTGCTTTGAATGAAGATCATCATCAGGAAGATCAGACTGCAACCCTGACCAGCCAAAGCCTTATCTCCAGAGAATTGATAGTGCATCTTTGAAGTTGTCGTGCAGTTTCAAAATGTTATCCATCAGTTTTATTTGAAATGTATTTGCGCCCATCATTAGTTGTAAAATCCCCTTTCCTGCCCTAAGCTTTTCTTCTCCTGTATCATTTTCTGAAGCCACAGGGGTCTTACCCAAAGTAGAGGACTTCTGAGGTCCCTAATGTACTGCAAAATCAATAGGGGATGTAAAAGAGACTTCCTCTTCAATAGCAAAAGACCACTGTGCCTGGAACAGGAGAAAGTAGACCTGGACAACAATCAGACTAAATCTATGGTGGACCAGGGAAGAAGTACAAGAGGAAATCTATGGCAGGGTATTCCACATCCCAACAACTACTGTATCTTGAGTGAACAAAAATTCTCCGTTCTCCTTTCACTAATATGCAACAGTTTCAGGAAGCCAGCAGTCAGGTAAGCAGCACCTTCAAAAGTTCTCAGAAGGTGCCAGTGCTCCTGAATGTTTGACACAAAAACGCTGGGAGGAGGAACTAGGCTAACAGGGCACTTGATTGGTGGATCTCACTTTCTTTTTAAGTTTAAATTGAGGTTCTAAGAGAGAGAGAGATTGTAAAGATATTACAAAAGGGAAAGCTGGTTAGAAAGTGGATTGAAATTAAACAGCTGTTGAAAGTTGCATTGTATCATGCGTATTACCTCTATTGCAGAGTTTCAGAAAAACCCAGGAGTTGCTATCGCTTCCACCTCCACCTGTTTATTAGTGAGTATAAGTTGACATCAAAATCCGACATTGAACTTGTCAGGAAGCTTGCCAAGCATGTGTTAAAAGTCTACAGGAAAAAAAGTAGTATTTCCTCACTCCTTACTCAACCCAAATTGTGGAAGTCAAAGGATTGTTTTGAGTTTGTAGAATCAAGACCTCCAGTATTTCGCCAGAAATAGGCTGCACTTTAGCATATGCAGTGGAGACAGTAATAACAATGACTACATCTGCCAAGCCTGCTGGTTTTTTTTTGTTTGTATTAGGTAGCAAAACAAATTGAAGCCAGAGGCAACTGTAACGATGACGGGCATTTCATGAACCGGACCCTCGTACGTAAGAACAGAAGTAGAAAATGCAGTGAAGTTATAACCAGGGATATGAACTTACAAATTTCCCCAAGTCCTATTATTTGTTTTGGCAACAGCGGTTTAGCAATTGGCTGGCAGGCAGGACGGATGGACGGACGGACGGCTCGAGCTGCGGCAAAGTCCTCGCGTTCTGGAATTCTTGAACACAAAAGCCACAATTCTACGTGATGAGGATTTCGGAACCGCATTAGTAATGGTTCAAGTCCTTTGTGAGTTGGAGCAGAAGCACTGGAGAACAACCCAAGGATATGATATGCAAGTCAGATTCCTGTGTTGGGGGATGACCTGGTGGCTGGCTCCCCTACCTAGTACCTGGTTACAGTGCTTTCAGAAGCGGTGACACCTGTTACGTTGACTAACCTGTGCTCGAGGTTCTGATGCAGGTTCTACCCCTTTGGTTTTCACTATCTTCTGCTTTTGTTTGAGATTTGAGGCATTCAGTCTTCTTTTTATCTTGACACCTGTTTCCCTTGCTCCAGAGGACTTTGAGACAGATGCTCTGGCACAGTGTGGTATCTGAGCCTTTTTTGGCTCGCAGAAATGCTAGAGTCCCTGAGAAAGATTGCTGGCATCATGAAAGAGCTTGGTGCTTTCTACCCAGTCACAAGAGAAAATACAGTTCTTTGAGCAGTAGTCATGAAATAGAATTGTCCTGGAGCCTGCTGTGGTGTCCTCTTGTGCTGGGTGACACTCTCTAACCTGTCTAACCCAACAATTTCAAAGACTGAATTCCAATGAAGTGAGTGAAAGTGTTTCAAGAAAGCTATCCTGTCTTCAAGAATCAATTTCAGCTCCTTTTTATATTTCTTGATTTTTTTTCCAAATCCTGAAACAATCTTCATAAGTTTTGTTTAACTGGAAGATAACATATACTTTGATGACCATTGGTTGCAGCAAAAGTCCCAGGATGGGACATTTAAAATTTAAATGTTGGCACACACATATTGTCAACTTTTTATAAAAAATAAAAATTGTCTGAAGAAACACATAAATCAATGGTGTCAATCTCATGTTAAAAGGACGGTGTCATAGCTTTACATGTTAGAAGTGTCAAGGTTTAAAGTAGTTGTTTGCTTGAGGACATTTCTTGTGGGCAAACAGTGGGATTTACTGCCGCAGTTGATCAGGTAAAAGGAAACTTGAGACTGATTTGGTTACTGATATGGACTTTACATTATACCCTACAGTCTATTTCTTGTGTTTACAAAAAGAGTGAGAGGGCCTTGGGACGTCCTCCTGACACGAAAGGCGCCATACAAATGTAATCTTGTTGTTGTTGAAACATTAGTGGGGAGGGGGGATTTTGACACAAAATATGGATAAATTTGGTGAATAAGATTAATATTGAAGATCGAAAATAAGCCAGATATTTATTTTATTCCACATTAATAACACATTTGTAAGTTAGAGAGCTGATCATCCACACTAATTGTTAATGGCCTTTATTCAGATCAGATTGTGGTCATTAGACATCACGCAAAATACAATAGAGACACACAGACACACAGGGCTACAAATCTAAACAGACTATTGTAGTGAGGTGTGGTGTTACAAGTCATTGTAGCTCCACAGTGTCCCAGCCTCTCAGTCCCTGACTCTCCCTCTCACATACAGAGACTCACATCAACATGTCACATGCACTCATTGACTGACTCACTCACTGATTCACTCACTCATTCACTGACTGACTCACTCACTGAATCACTCACTGACAGAGAGAGAGAGAGAGAGTGCGCAAGAGAGAGTGTGCGCGAGCGAGGGTACGAGCGAGTGTGTCAGAGTGAGAGTGAGAATGTGAGAGAGAGATAGAGAGCATGAGAGAGAGCGAGTGTGACAGAGAGCGTGACAGACAGAGAGAGGGAGCATGACAGAGAGAGGGAGCGTGACAGAGTGAGAGAGAGTGTGTGAGAGTGCGAGAGAGAGAGAATGTGAGAGAGAGTGAAAATGAATGTGAGTGTGTGTGTGTTAGAGAGAGAGATTGTGAGAGAGAGCGAGAGAGAGTATGAGAGAAAGAGAGAGAGAGTGTGTGAGAGAGTGAGAGTGCGTGAGAGCTTGCTAGAAAGAGAGTATGAGAGAGTGAGAGAGTGTCACAAAGAGAGAGTGTCAGAGAGTGAGAGAGTGTCAGAGAGCGTGAGATAGAGAGTGTGAGAGTGTGTATGAGAGTGTGTGAGAGAGCACATGAGAGAGAGTGATGTGTGAGAGTGAGAGAGAGAGTGAGTGAGTGTGTGAGAGAGTGTGTGTGTGAGAGTGAGTGAGTGTGAGAGTGAATGTGAGAAGAGTGAATAAGAGAGAGAGAGTGTGAGAGAGAGTGTGAGGTTACATCAACTGGATTATATGGCTGGGGTGAGGGTGTTAGTTCATGCATCCAACGTTGTCTTGTTCAAAAGCAAGAATACAATAATAGTTTGATAATTAGCAGTAGCTTTATATTGGAATTTAGAATAAAGTCAGATTATTTTTCTGGTTGTTGTTTCCCATACTCGTGCGAAACTCCAGAATATCTGCTACGCTTATGCTCTGACCTGGGGTGCAAGTTTTATTTTTTTGTGAACATCAACATCAAGGGAAAAAACAATAATGAAACCCACACGAGGAATTCTGAGACCCATTCATTATGTTACCATCACTTGGTTCTGATTGTCATTAAACGTTAGCATTAATTCAAAGTTTAAAAAGCCAGTTTGCTGGGGGCTGGTGGGATGTTTGTAAGTTATATTCTTGCTTTTGGCCTGAGATTTCCCACATCACACATCTTCCCCGCATGAGAGCACAAGCTGGAGACCTGCTTGCAGGCCTCTGCTAATGTTTCTTTATGACTGACTACCAGAAGGTGCACAAGAGAATTGATTCAGGTTGTAATAAAATAGGTGCTAGCGCAGTAGATGTCAGGCTTAATTCTGTTTCTTGACTCGTGGGGAAAAATGCTTTTCCCTCAGTTTTGCAACATGAATTCCTTTTTGCAGTGAAGCATATTTTGAGTTTTATTCTGTTTGCTCCTGTCACCATTTCCTGTAACACTAATTTTGCAGTGTATTACTAGATTTTTGTGAGGGGGAAGTTGGAGGGCAGGGGTATACAGACGGTGTGAAAGTGGATCCTCTGGCACTACACCAGTAGATCAGATGTCTAAACATGTTAGTGCCTTTCATTTCTTAAAATGTTAAATCATTGTTCCATGAACCTGTGGGGCAAATAACCTCAATTTTAAAAAAAATGACACTTCTTACAGGCTTGCAGGAGGAAGTAAGCTATCTAATATTTTTTCATGTTTCTTTTTGGGACGTGGGTTCCTATGGCCAAGAAGGGAAATAGGAGCTGATCTGATCTTTCTGTTCCCATTGATATAGTGCCACTGTATTGATGCTACAACATCTTGCGGCTATGTTCGAACATATAAACCCTGATACCCCAGACCGTAATAGAACCATTCAACCATTCTTTCAGTGTAGTTCTGTTGGCGTTTTACACCTAGCTACAACCGCTTTCAAGCCTATTGAACGCTACTCTGCTGAATTAAATTGGTTGCAAACCAAAACTAAGTTGTTGGTGTTGAAGTTTCAGAACTGCAATGTGCAGATATTCAAGTGTACACACGTATAACTAGATATTCATGTCCACCAGGGGGCGACAGGAAGATGGAAGGATTAGCTGCGTACCGTGTGGCTTTAGCTTACCATGCTAATGGAGATCCACAAACAGCAATCAAAGTAAGTATGATGTTACTGTTTGACCCTTGCGTGTTTTTTTCCCTCTCGGATCCTACTGTTTTATTCAGTGTTTTAAACCCTTTTCAGCAAAAAAAAAGTTGTCTTGATAACTTTGAAATCAGGAATCTCATGGCATTATTCAAAACGAGGAGGAGGGTTTCACCCAGTACGAGAAGGGGGTCAACACATCCCACAAATAAATTTAGGCACTCGCCTAAATAAATTTAGGCTGTTGGTGGGACACTGCTGTGCACAATTGGCTGCCACATTTCACACACAAAATATCTAGTGAAGCGCTTTGAGATGCTCAATGACAAGATAAGATTATTTATTATTATTGACATTAACTTCTCTAAATTAGAGAGAGACACATAACTCATAACTGAGTATTCTCTCCTTATATAATGCATGGATAGTAGGCACAAAATGAATATAGTGCTTTATCTTTGGATACTAAAATTTGAATGAATGAATTTTTAATCAGGCGAATGGGAGTTTGCATGTTTTAAAACTTTCTGGAATGCTGAGTGGCTACGTCAAGCAATTTGGGAACAGACAAGTTCTAGTTTCAAAAGCCATTAGAGTCTATTGCTTCTGGTTTGCAGTTGTGGCTAGCTTCTTGCTTTCAGGAGTTTGGCTGAAAAAAGGTCCGAAAGATCTTAAGGTAAGTCGGGAAGCAAAACAGAGATCCTAGTGCACCCCTTAGCAACCTTTGGAATTGAACCTTTTTTGGTGTCATTTTCTTATTGAATCTCTTAGAAAATCTCAGTTTCCCACAAAACTAGTCACTTTTAGCATAGCAATTTACAGGTTGCAAATTACTCATTTTCAACACATTATCTTTCCATAGAGCCTGTATTTTTATCTCAGTTTTTCCCTGTCCATTTAGATGTTTATGATCAATTCTATATTTAGAAATGGTTTGTATTACATGCAAACTTTTTCTTCTTGTGCTTTCAATTTACTATATTTAAATAGTATTCAAGTCTCAGGCCCAGAGAGATGTTAGAGGTTTCGGAGAAAAGAAAAGGGAACTCACTTGCAGTTTTAATATGCTACTGATACTATGATGCACCCTGATTTTGGATCATAGAATCATTAAGATACATTTAGTGAAAATAAATGCTTTAAATTTGAGTAAAACAGTAGTTTTAATGGGGTAGAGTAATTATGCTTTCCCTTTCATATGGTTCACTTTTTAATGCACGTCATCTTGAAAAATTAAATTATTCGGTCACAAATCAATGGTTTGCAATGGATTTCACTCATAGCTAATGGGAAATCTTCTCAATAACCAGCAGTAAGTCACAGCCGACTGGTGATCCTACTCCAGAACGGTAGAAATAAATTGCAAGTTACGCAATTTGTATGTTGACTTTTACTATCGGAATTTACCATCAAAATAATCAGCCTTGAATTTGACATAGGACCTTTCACGTTGGGAAGCCATCTCAAAGCTTTTCACAGCATTTACTGTAAAGTGTAACGACAATGTTTTGTAGGCGATGGCAGCAGTCAGTTTGTAAATAGCAGTATCCCACAACCAGCCCTGAAGTGAATGACCAATATATCTGGCAGATTGTTGTTTGGTACACTGGGAAAAATTCTTTTTTAAGAGTTTTTCAAATAGTAGAGTGGAGTCCTGTAGCTTAGTGGTTAGAGCACTCGCCTCGCAAACAAGAGGACCTGGCTTTGATTCCCAGGCAGGGCGAAACGTTGGGCAAATTTCCTTACTCCATGCACCTCTGTTTACCTAGCAGAAAGTAGGTATCTGGTTGTCAGTCGATTGGCAGATCACTTTTCCGGGGGTAATAATCCCTTAAAATAATAATAATAATTTGGTCACTCAATCCACCACTGTTCGTGGGACACTGCTGTGCGCAATTGGCTGCTGTGTTTTGCCACAAAATATACAGTCAATTCACTTTACAGTATATTCTGTGAAGCGATTTCAGAAGTTTCGAAAACATAAGTGGCTGTATCAAATGGAAGGTTTATTTATTATTATTTATAGTACTATGGGATCTTTAACATCGACCTGAATAGGGACCTCATCCTAAGAATGGCACCTCCGACAATGCAGCAGTGCAGGTGGAGGGCTGCATTGTCAGAGCTCGTGCAACATTGTACTCCAGTACAGTAGAGTACTCGGTTCAAAGTCCTGACGTGGAGCTTAAACCTATAAACCTTCTCTCAGAAGCAAGAGAGCTACCAACAGAGCCAGACTCAAGTCATTAGTGTGATTCTGAGTCTCTCTTAATGAATCATATTACAAATGCCATCTTTGATTCATAGAATTTTTTTGATTGGACTTTCTAAATTTGAATGAACATTTTGTTTGGTGACTTTAATTTGTTAGGGGGTGGTGGAGGGAAGAGAGAGATTGTGTTATTTTATAATATCTGAGGTTCAGCAGCACAATGAAGTCTGCTGATTTAAAACAGTGATTGTTATATGTTTGATTTTAAATTTGACAGCATTGTGGAATTACCAGATTTTAAATTTGGAAAATGGAATAAATAGACCTAAAAGACACTTTTCTTGTTTCCAACATTCTTTTAATAAGTTAAAAATATGGATAAGAGTTTACAATTTTGATACATTGTTCTCCAGATTTAAATTGTAGAACAAGGAGGGTATGTAAAACACGTTCTTTTTATCTGGAATTTAGTTTTTGATTTTTCCCCAAAATGGACTAATTTAAAATATGAAATAGTTTTTATCGATTAGGTCAGAACAATAATTTATCTTGCCATGAACACTGTTTTTATTTATTCTTTACAGTTTGTTTTTGCTGTGCAAATATGTTTCTATAATCCTCACACGCTTAAGCCCGTTGAGTTTTTAAAATTGATGTTCAGTTTGCAGAGATAAAATGTGTATCAAAAATAACTTCATGAAGATATTATTATAAAGGAAAATAACAAAATATGTAACAATAACAAATTCAACAACGTAAACTCCTTAAATCAGATTTGTTATAGGTGTCTTTTTAAATAGTCAGTGTATAAAAGGTGGTGCCTCACAGTGTTCCGATTATTTGTGAATAATTTTGCTAGATTTATTATATCAAGTAATATGAAGCTCTTAATTAAAGATTATTTGTACTGCTTCCATACTGTAGGATGGAATTTTCCTTTTGTGTTTATTTGGCACTTTGAATTATTGTGTAAATATTTTGATCACCTGTGAAAGCTGGGAAATAACTACAGTATAAATTGATATTACCTATTACTGTTTTGCTACAATCTCGCTGTATTTGCACCGTCCAAAGTAGCCACACGTTTAAAACATTTTTTGATCAAAAAATAAATGAAAGCTAAATGATAATGTCTTTTGTTGGAAAAAAGTAAAAGCTCACGTATGCCTTTCTTTTTGAGAACCCTGGCCAAAGATTTACATTTATGTTTTTATACATAAATCGTCTCTCCATCTGAGAGGAGCTCAGATGTATACAGGCCTTAGATCATAGTTTTACCTCCCTTAGGACGCCCGCTTATCATTATACTGAGCTTCCTAGCTCTCTGCTTTGCCTTGTGGTAATATGCTGTTCATTGCCAGGCCAAGCCTCAGAGACATGCTAAAGAGGTCCTGCCACACAGCGCAAGACTCCTGGGGTCTCAGCTCTGGGGTCTCAATGGTTGTTTCCCTGCTTTTCCATCAGAGTTTTCATCTCCTTTATCCTGTTGTAATGCACCCACCTCAGGCTGTCATTCTACGGACGACTATAGCTGGGATCGAACAGCAACAGCTGCTGTAAAAGACGATCATTTCCTCCCACTGTTACCTCATTAGTGTTTCTCCCATTCAACCAACAAATAATCTTGTGGCCACTATTGGACATCAGGGAGGGATTTTTGCTTAAAATACTTATTATACATGTAACGGTGAACAATAATGTCTCCAGTAATGTTGTTTTTGTTTTACTTAAAATAATATTAGTGTATGGTGATTTTTTTTGAGGTGTGAAATAAAACTTTAATATCTTCTTTAATGTTATGACCTATTAGCTTGATGAGGAGTACAAAAAACATTAAATCAGACAGCAATAACATCTGAATTGCGTGCCTGTGCTACTGAATCCTATTATGTAACAAAAATCTAACCAATCTACTGTATATGAGACACAGAAGGTGTTCTTTAATTTAACTCATTTATGTGCATTCAAAATTATGCATTCAACATTTGTCAAATAAAGGTTGACCAGAAACCTCTGACGTGCGGTTCGTGACGTAAAGAAATTGAATATTTTGATCTGTGAAATAATTAATTGTTTGTGATAGATTGTTAAAACATTTAACAAATTATTATTTTCCAATCACTGTTAGTTTTTCCCTTGGTGTGTTCTTCATTCAGTTAGAGATCAAGTAAATTTTCTGATCCAACAGTGAATAATTTCATAGTTCTTTCTACAATTGTGTTACTTGTTGAAAAATCTAAAAGGTAGGAGGCACTGATGTTATTTTTGTATCAAAGAAATTGAGGGTTGAAATGTCAGATCACAGCACACACAAACAAGCGCAATGGCAGGAATGATTAGTTTTTACATTAATGGACAAACATTCTTAATTTTACTCAAATAGCATGCCATTCAGAACATAACATAACACATTCAGAACTTTATAAACTCGTCCAAGATGGGAAACGTGAAATTGACACAATGTACTGAAAAAGAAAAAGGGATTTTTTTAAAAAAAATCTTTAAAGCCATAGTTTAAAGCAGCACCTGCTACTGAGACAGCCTACATGCCTGTGAGGGTTAATCCTGCTGTGGCATTTGTTTCTGTAATGCAGAAAATACTGTCATTTGTTCTTTTATCCTTTATAAATCAAGTCAAAATTGAATCCACTGCATCATGCCCCGTGTGTGAGATTTTCAGGTTATGGTAAAGCATGTTTTTGCCCTAATTTCTGAACCCCTTTTAACTGAGGATTTTTGAATCGTATAATTCAATATAATAATTGCAAATGAAATGCATTAAAAAATAAGTGTGTAATTA